ACACTGTACATTATAAATATACTTTTTGTCAATTAAAAAGAGCCATATATTTTGTACAAGTAGAGCGGTATTAGTAATAATAATAACAATACTTCTCAGGGCATATAGTCATCTGTATTAGCTCAATCTTCTATTTGACTATGGTGACTCAGTATACAGGTATTCTGGGAACACAGATTCTATCTCTTTTGTGTGTGTGTGTGTGTGTGTGTGTGTAGCACTGGGAATCGAAGTCATGACCTCATGCTTGCAAGCCAGGCACTGTGCTACTGAGCTATATCCTCGGCCCAGATTCTATCTCTAACATTGATCAACTCACCCATTCCTATCATCACATGCACATTATTTAATCTTAGACAATGTTATTCCTTTACTTTGTAGAATACAGATAGCAGTCCTTGCTGTCTATCAATCTCAAAGATTGATTTCAAAGATTACTTACTAAATAATATTATTCCTTCAAAATATAAATTTTATATACTTTAACACATTAACACAATTGGACCAGAGTAGTAAAATAACCACCTGGGTAAACCAAGGAGACAGTGTGAAGAAGGTACAGCACTGTGATTAAGAATGTAGTCTTTGGAGACAGAAAGACTTTAGTTAATTCCTAGTTTTGCATGTATTACCCTTAGGCAAAAATGGTACCTGTCTAAATCTCAGCTTCCTCATCTGCAGAATGGGTATAATAATATAAACAGAAGCTGTTATAAAGATTAAACATACATGATATTTTAGGATGATAGGTGGCACACAGAATGTTTGAAACAAATGATAGCAATTACTATTTTGGTCTGCGCTGACTCACAGTCAACTTGAAACAAAGGGCTAAATACTTCTGAGTTTGCTTTTACAGTTTCAAAAAAGACATTATCTTCCATCTTTAGATAAAAGGTTGCAATTAGAATTTAATGATGCCTGTATGATATTTTGGATTCCGGAAGACTAGTTCTGTCATCTCAAAAGTATTATTCTAAAAATTTCAGAAATGACCCACCCATATGAGCCACATATTGTGTCCTACTGGAAGAAAGTTGGTCCAGAGTGACATAGTTGGTGTCTCTCTGCGGCCCATTTTTGTTTCTCAGTCACTGAATTCTTCCCATACTTCCATCCACTGATCTCAGGTCTACTCACTTGTGCCTGAATCTATAAAAGCATTCTTTACAGTCTCATCCATATCTTCAAAAAGAGGAGACCCACAGAAGTGTTCTTGGGAAATTTCTCAGTGAAGTTCCCTGAAACCTTAACTTTGACAGAGCCAAAACCAAGGCAGGACACCCATTTTCATGGACCTCACAGAAGACCTGCTTCACAGCTGCCCAGCTCATCTAGTTCTCAAGCATGTAAAGCCATCAGACATGCTTATAAATCTCAGTGCTGATTTGGAGGCCAAAAAGTACTATTTCTCCTGAGTGTATCCACTTACTCGTTTTATTTTGAAGCAATTTCATATTTTGAGACAAAGCAGACAACGATAGCAGAATAACAAAGATCTATTAGTTATAGCTACATCTGACCAATGAATTAGCTCCAAGCAATGTTACACTAGGACAAACTGAACTTCTGCAATATAGCAAATGTTGTAATCTTCCTTTAGAGAACAACGATGATGTAATTGAAGTGCTATACTGCTGGGCACGGGTCACTTTTGATATAGTGCAGAAGTTAGGTCACATGCTCAACTTATATAAATGCAAAGATACTTTTAAAAAAATTAAGTAAGGCACTTAGTGCAGTCTTTAAAATCTGTTGAAAGTCCACAAATAAAAGTAAAATTGCATGCCTGTATGTTCCCCCACCAGCAGCTATGTGCACAGTTTCGCCCCAATCTCTATACTGTTTTCTCAAAGTGCATATGTGTGTTTATGTTTTCTAATTCCCTTTTGTAGTGCACATTTCCCGAAGACTCTACTTTTAGCTCCCACACAGAATTGAAAGTGAGGAAAAGAGAAAGAACCTAGATTTTAAAACCACACATGCCAGGTTCAGATTCTGGTCAGCTTGGATAATCTAAGTCACAGTTACTTTATCTTTGAAAAGGAGTAATAATGGTAAACACTTCGGAAAGCATCGCCAAAATTCAATAAAATAGCGCTGTATAAATTCTACGTGATGTGAGTCTACACAGGACTTACTGCACAGCAAGAACTCACTTAAAGTTGTTACATGGTTAGGGGCCAACGCAGAAAGAGAAACGAGTATGTGGTAAATGTATGTGGCACAACCGTGCAGCCACTCTAGGCCTGTTCCTCAGTGGAGAGTCCAAGGTGGCTACACACTCATTTCAAGGATAACACTATTGCATCATTTTACACTAAGATTTTTTCTGCAAACAAAAAGATTTTTTAAGAAATAAATAGGACCAGCCTCCCTGTTTGACACAAACCACTGAAATAATACGTGCCCTCCATTCAGTTTCTATACCTTCAGAATACCCTCACCTCCTTAATCACCACTATGTTGCATAAATGATACTTTTCTTCCCTGGAGGGACAGGTGACTAAGGAAGGAGCACCTCCCATTAATATGTAATTACCCCAATTTAAATAAAACAAAGGGTGACTTCTTTTAAAACTGGAGCGATTTCATTCATGCTTTACTTTCTTACAAGTTCCTTTGTTTTTCATATCCACACCACGTCAGCTCTTCTCAAACTTCAGAGTGAATAAGAATTGCCTTGGAGGAATGTTTTAAAGGAGACTGACATGTCTCATCCAGAGAGTTACTGGCCCTTCTGGGATGTCAGCTGGACGGCTCTGCTTTAAATGAGGACTCATTGACTAGTTTGAGTATATGGGATACACTTTGAGAGACAGTCCTTAAGTAAAAATTAAAATTGTGTATTTTGTTTCACTTGAATATTCATTTTATCTTCATCTATCTATTTAAATATGCATAGACATTAAATATAGAGTCACTCAATTCTAACACAGACAAGGCCTGGAATATATTTACGGACTATATTGAGAGTGGTGAAAACTTTCTTGAAGGACTGTCTTCTACAGTAACCATCTTAAGGACGATGAGAGGAAAGAAATTAAGACACAAAACAATTGTGAATTATAGAGAAATGCTTCCAAAGGGCAGGGATCCTTGAGAAATCTGACTAAATTTATAATATCATGACACAGTATTAAACTTCTATTGAAAAGCATGTCAAACTTCTGTCAATGATAAACTTATTTTCCCTACTAGAGAATGACTACAGACTGGACTGGGAGTTTTGTATTTTTCAAACATTTTTCTCTCACATTATAAATTCCTAAAAACTAATATACCAATATGTCAAAGATGGTAAATTTTAATCTGAAGATAAAATTATTCTGAATCCAAATTAACAGACAAAAATCCTGTTAGTTTCTAATTTTGAAAGAGAACAACAGAGAAGCTATTCTGTGGCTAGGCATCTCATTGGTTTATTTTTAAAATCTGACTATGATAATTTAGTTGTACAATCCTCTTGAATTGTTTCTTATTTTTCAAAATATTTGTAATTTTTATTTTAAACAATTTTCTGGGGCTGGGGATTTAGCTCAGCGGCAAAAGCGCCTGCCTGGCAAGCGCAAGGTCGTGAGTTCGGTTCCTGGTACCGGAGAAAAACAAAAAAAAAAACCAAAAAACAAACAAACAAAAAAAAAACCACAATTTTCTTACAGAAATAAATATAATTTTGAATTGCATGGTTTCAAATTTATATTTTTCTCATAAATACCCTCTGAAATAAGAATATCTCATTAGATAAAGTCCAAGTTAAAAACACATTTTGCTGTTCTTGAAATAAACTAAAAGGCAGCTGCCACAACACCATGTGCTATACCTTCACACACTGTAAAGCCCCCTGAGAAAACACTGGGGTGAACGGGACAGAAGAGGGGAGCAAACAGCAACATAGAACTGTAGTCTATTTCTTCACATAATGTGTAAAATCTCAAAACTATTTTTCTCTGTTAAGTAGTAGATATAGAAATTGGAGGTGTTTATGCCACTGTAAACAAGTTACCTTCAGGCAGAAAAGGCAGAAAGGAGAAGGGAACTTACGGATACATTGCTGACCAGCAAGGAAGAGCCTTGTGAAGATCGGAGTCTGCAGTGAAGTGGCTCCCTCAGCTCCATCGGTGACTCTGTAGGCTAGATCGCGGTGAAGAAAGAAGTCACGGATGATCCAAGCAGAACCAGCCTGACGAGTCTCGGCTAAGACAGCAGAGAGTTTGTGTGTCTAGTAGAACAAAGACAAATTTTACAGGGATCAAGAGCAAAAATAACTTATAAATATTTTCTAGGAGTAGGAATTTAAAAGCTTTTTTTTTTTTTTGAATTAGCATAGGGCAGAATTTTTAGAAAGGTCAGATGTTTAAATCTAGATAGAATTTTGAAAGTCACTCTACTCTGCTTCCTCATGTTTCCAGGGAAGAAACTGAGGTTTAATTAAGTTAAATGGCTTAGTCAAAATCACATAATTAACCATCACAAAGACTAACATCAATAAAACTAATCTGACATGTTTTCTACTGTGTCATGCATATAACCTAAAGTTTTTCTTTGGTATTAATTATAAGTGAGCTGTTGAAAATACAGTAGAGACTAGAAAAGTATTAGCATCTTAAACTGAATGGTATCATTCCCATAGAAAAGTCAAGTCATTTATAAATACTAACATATCAGACTTATCAGCTAGCTCGGTTTTATTTACAGAAAGTAAATAATATATATTTTAAAAACATTTTCAGTCAGGGATATAGATCAGTGGCACAAGCATCCGCCTGGCAAGTGCAAGGTCCTGAGTTCGATTCCTGTACCAAAATAATAATAATAATAATTTGTCCCTTTACTGAATTAGGATCTAGAGAAGTGTGCTTTATCAATACCTCTTGTAAGCAATCTAAGAAAGCACAGGGGTGTCCCTTTTAGGGCTGGGGATATAGTTCAGTGGCACAGCGCCTGCCTGGCAAGTGCAAGGTCCTGATTTCCATTCCCAGCACTAAAAAAAAAAGAAGAAGAAAAACATTTTCACAATCTGCATGCAAATATCTGTGTGTAGTCTTAAGCATAACCTTTAAATTGCCTTTTCTAATCTCCATAAACCAGATTAAGTGCTTCTAATGTACATTTTCATGGTATCATAATATTTACCCATTATACTAAAATTTTTATTTGTCTCACTTTAGGAAGCTGTGAATTCTTAACAGACAGGAATTCTGTTACCAGTATAGATGGGTTTTAAAATATGTATGAGAAAAGGAAAGAGGAAAGAGTACGTGTACGATCAGTCCTAAAATAATCACCATGAAGAAAACAAATCCTGTTTAATTCCACTCATATCCATTTCGCTTCTTGGTCACCTCTATAGGTGCAGAAATTGAGGTTCACGGTAAATTGTGGCATTAGGCTGCCACACCTGGAATTGTGAGCAGGAATTAACTGGAATTACTCTTAGCAGTGACTAAATCCCCAGACTATACCTGGGCCTAGAGAGATATAAGGTTTGTGTTAGAGTTAATAGATCACTTAACATTGAGGGATAACTTGCACATTTGTTTACTGAAAGTCATGTAAGATTTCTGTCTACTCACTTGGGAAGTACAATTTAGCCAAAAAATAGAGGGAATATTAACATAGTAAAACTTCCAGATTTTGAAATTAAGTTGTTTTTATATGGTCTTTAAAGATAAAATATTTTCAAATGCAAAGTTAAGATGGCTTAATAATACTATATTTTTATATTAATAGTCTATTAAAATGCTAATTATGATCCTGTTGTTAAAGGAAAACAGATTCCCCTTCAGTGTAACTTTGGAATAAGACTTGCCAATCTCATTTTTTGGCGGGTAGGGGGTACTGGGAATCAAACTCACAACCTTGTGCTTGCCAGGCAGGCACTATGCCACTGAGCTATATCCCCAGCCCTGCCAGACTCATTTTAACAAAATCTTATAGCTTTTAGGTTTTTCTTTCACAAAATAAAGATTCTGAATAATCTTTAGATTCTGAATAAGTAAATAAATTTTTTATATATCCCTAAAGTCTTGTATACATAGATTTATGTATAGCTAGTAATATGGATGCAGAAAATAGGACTGCTTGCTTGAATTGTTTAAAGAATACTGTAAGGATAGGCTAGTTCTTCTAGAAAATCAGATAGGCAGAAATTTAGGATATTTAAATAGAGAAGCGGATTCACTTGAAACATATTAAAATATAATAATAAATATGTCTGTCTTTTCTACTTTAATGGCCTTTATTCAGGTTCCTGAAAAGTCATTGCAGTGTACACCAACAAATTTTTTGATATAGCATAATTTTAGTATAGAAATGAGAAAAATGACAGGAAAAGGGAAAATGAACCATAAATTATCTGCTAGTGAAACACTTCGTGTATTTAGGTCTTGCATTGAAATTCTTCTTGGAGTTGTAGCATAAAAAAGCAAAACCAATCATTTCAAAATTAATTGATCTCTCAGAGGAAAATGACAGAACTTAGGGAAAAACTTACCAAATATTTCTACTTTTGCTGCCATTTTTCTGAAATCATTTTTGCAGCACTTTTGTTCTAAGCCATGACACAAAGAAAATGTTCCTGGAGTTACTCTCCTCTCCGGGCATGAAGGAATTGTTTGTACCGTTGTGCGTAATGGCAGAAGCAGTGTTGAGAATGTACTTGTGATTTTGAGTCTTGGGGAAGCTCACGGTAGATAGGTCACATTGCATAACAAGTGAAATAGCAACTTTACCTCAGGCATTTTTATCATCCAGCAAATTATTGTGTGGTCATTCCAGTACCTAACAATTTTATAGCAATGAGCATCTGATGCCTGTAAGCTACAGAAGTACCATGCCAGTGTGGCTAGTCCCAGATGACTTTTATGACTGTTTAAACTCCCACTAGCTTATTCCAAGGTCTTTTATGCTTGATAATACTCAGATGTCTGTAATAACATGATTGATTTATGGAATCCTCCAAAGTTATACCTGGGTTACATCTTGCTGATACTAAAGCAATGCTTTTATTGGCTAGTTTATGAAAATGTACATTACAGATTGAACAATATTGTTAAACTAGTAAATGAACTAGTTGTCTGAGTAAATACAGATGTCATCATCTGTGGATCCATCTCCTCCTATCATGTATAGTTTTGAAGGTACCCATTTATCTTAATTTGTTTAGGCTGAGAATACAGACAGCATCGATATAACTAATTATCATTTATTTCTATCTCAGGAGGAAGTTATGACAAACTTTCTATCTGTCAGGGGTTAGGGAGTAGCTCAGTGGTAGAGTGCTTATCTAGCAAGTGGTAAGACCCTGGGTTCAATCCTCAGATCCATAAAAATATTTTTAATTAAACATAAACCTAATGCTGCAGAGCAAGCTGTCACTACTGTTACTGCCCCCCTTGCTTTGTTTTGTGTTCTTATTTAAAATGTGATTTGTTTCCTCTGTTCCACTATACAATGTTCTACAATTGCTATGACTGTCTTCATGATAATGGAGATTATTTTTCTAGTCATTAATGTTAAGATTTGCTAGGCTTAACAAACTGTAATGATGCACAGAATACAAACCAGAGACAAGGTTTTTAGAATTAACTAACAATAACAATGCTAAAGGGGGCTGGGGATTTAGCTCAGCGGCAAAGTGCCTGCCTGGCAAGCGCAAGGTCGTGAGTTCGGTTCCCGGTACCGGAGAAAAACCCAAAAGAAAAGAAAAAAAAAAAAAAAAAACAATGCTAAAGCAATTCTTTTTTGAGTGTATAGGGAAATAAAATATGGACTGATTAATGTTATTATACCAGTGACTGAGTGAACATAACACTTTTGGACCCATTTTAATTTTCAGTTGTTTGCAATTAGTCTAACAAACACTCCTAAGATTAATCAATTTCATGTTGGAGGATTAACTTGTAGTCTCATGAACAGATTCTTCGTGGGACATGACCTTTATTTATTTATCCATACTCTTCTCTCTATAATAGATACTCTTCCAAAGTATCCAATAAATTAATAAAGTAGTGATCACGTTCAAGAAAAAGTAAAAATCCAAATATATTCTACATCTTGTTTAAGACAGTTGCTCTGATAAAGATGTAAATGTGGCTTTGAACTTTCTGGCATAAGTTACACAACTCTGTTAAAAACAAAGACATTAAGAAAATATTTTTTTCTGCCAGTAAATTAATGAAGAAATTTTTTATGTCAGAGTAACACTTAACAATGAAGAGTACTATCAGCAACATTGTAATAAAAACATAACAGAATTTATATAACTTATTTAATTTACATAATTATGTCATAATAAATTCAAAATCACATGTAGGCATAACTCTGAATTTGAAGTTGATGACAGATTTTTAAAGGAGAATTTTTAATGTGTACACTTCTACTGGTCCTGCTTGATCCAAAGGTACAAGTCAAAGTAAGATAGGGATATAATGTTTCTTAGATGCATTTCTAAAAATATTAGTTCTCTCAGAATAATTCAGGGAGAAATAGGAGTTCTTATACTGGGAAAATTTCTGAGGGTGCAAGTTATATGTTGTTAATTGAGAGACGATCGGTTTATTTTGTTAAATCAGAAATGCAGTTGAAAGAATCCCAGTTTGTCAAAACTGAGAAACTAGATGAAATTTTACAACTAAAGTAAAATCCTATGAAATTTTAGTGTTAAATTGGTGCCTTTCTACTCAGAAGATTTGGAGTGGCTTGTAGTATTGTGTTTTATTTTTTTGGCTCTTTGTGTAGGATATCTCAACAAGAGTGCTACAGAAAAGTAGGGAGAGAACAGGGAGGGTATGCACACCACTTTTGCCCTAGGCCAAAGCTGGCTTCACCCTGTCTGCCATTTTCAAGTTTCAGAGTCTTGACTGTACTTTTGCTGCTTATTTGTACCTGTGCTTATATCCCATCCCTGACACCCAGCCTCCCGGACAAAAACAAGACTAGACTATTGGGAATATTTTGGTAGTGTGCCAGATTTGGTGAACAAAAGGGCATGTTGTAGTACGATGTCTACTGATGACCTTCAGCATTCTCTTCATACAGTAGCTTGGGAAAATGCCCGACTTTGACTACCAGCAGATTTCCTTGTGAACAATGACTTAATTGCATAAAATAATGAAAAGCATGGTTAACCCTTTTATCTCTGAACATTGAATAAGATAAATTTCCAGATGTTGGTCTCTATTTTTATGTTATTGGACCAATGTTCTATACAAATAATTATGATGTAAGCATTTAATATGAAAAGAGCTGAGTAATCTCTAATGTTTCATCTCAGTATTGCTACAATATTACATTCTGCAAATGTTAGTGCTTCAGATACCAATTTTTAGTAAGGTATCTTTAAGTCATAGAGTGAAAAATAAAATCAGTAAACTACTCAAGTTCCTTTCACTGTGGTTTGCAATCCTAGTCTTTATTGAATGCGTGCCTTTGGGGCTAGCTTTTTTATTAAGAAGAATCTGTTCCATTTTGTAGTGCTGAGGACTGTGTTCATACCTAACACCACTCTTCCTCTGGCCATACCATTTTTGATCACTACCCAGAGTACTTCTACTCAGCAAATTCTATAGTTTATTACGGGTGACTGAAATACTCAAAACAAGCCTATGAAATCTTAAGAAGAAGATAAATGAGATGTGACTTAAAAATAGTACTGAGAAAACATTCACAGTTAACAGAAGACAATTTAGAATAGCTGGTTGGCATCGTGACCTGTGAAGCCTCTGGCCAAGTATGGACACAGGTTTTAGTATGAATTTGACCAGCTGGATGTCATTCTTTGAAAAAGATAGCATTTTCAGAATGAAAGAGAAAATTAGAACAAATATAGAGGGATAATCCTATATCTGGTTTTCATTCTTTTTATTGTCAAGTGCTCAAAATGGACTGCTTATTTTAATTGCTACAAAACAAGCTATACTTTTGTTTCATTTTTAATAAAACACTTTAAAAGTAATTTAAACTGTCAATTTTAACTGGAAT